GAACCGCTGAACTGCCGATAACAGTCAGCTGAAGTGGCCTGCAGTACTGCACCCTAACCACTGCGCCACCTCGGCTCAGTAAAAAGGTTTAAAAAGGCAAGATGGTGTCTACAATTGCTTAATTGAAGCCCCAGCCCTTTCTATGTGTTTGTAATTATGGCTGTCATTTTGATTTTTAAACCTACTCTTGCAGACATCCCCGTTATTTTATAAAGCAGCATTAAAATAAAACAATGTGCAAAAAGTCACTTTTCTCCTGTTTATCTCTTGCTTGTTCTGTTTCCCATAGTTCAAATTCAGTGGGTAAACAACTTAAAATAACTGAGGAATTAAAAAATAATGACACAACACAAGGAAACCCCCCTCCCTTCTTTCTCTTTTTATCCTTCTTTCTTTTAAAAAGGACATAATTTAAACAAGAATTTCTCAATTAAGTTAGAAGCCAGTGACTAAATGGGATGGCTCCAAATTATACCAGAATCCCAGTCACATCTGCTGGGATTCTCACACATTGCTGAAACTTTACTTTTCAGAGCCAGTGTGAGAGTATTCCTAAAAGAAAAACTGGATTATCAATCTAACTAAATAAGCAAACAAATTAAATGGTGCCCCTCCCAAGAACTGGACCAATTTTGGTGTACTGCATTTTTCTTTACTACACTATAGTGCAATATTCCCCAAGGGTTACGGTAGGTTGTGAGTTTTGCATGTTGAATTGTGTTTTAAAAAATTCTCATAAAGCAGAATTGAAGGGTACATTGATGAAATGTTACCAACACTCACTGGGTAATGAACAGATGTGTCTTAAGTGTATGCCAAATATTCACAAGATTCAGAATTGGACTGAATAAGCAAAGAATTTTGTACAAGTCCCCGGTATTGAGAATGTCTCCTGACATAGTGAATTTCTGGCAAATATGGCACTTAAAGTTGAACTGTTGAACTCCAGGTTCAAATGACATACCGTAGTTTCAGTGCTGCTTCCTGAAAAATGTTGGAAAACATTCAGTATGTATGAGAACCACAAGATGAGGCAATTCTAGTTTAATTCACAGCTTCAGTGAGATGAGCTACAATGGATTCTGATGATGTTCAGAGAATGTTTTACCTGACCATCAAGCAAAAGTATTTCAGAAGACAAAGATTATTTATCCAGTTCCTGAGAATGGGACATGAACCAGCCACGGTGTAGGATGAAGACTCCTTTCTTCCATCCTTCCTTCCTTCCNGGACTTAGGTCAATCATCCCCTCTTACACAGCTATTGTAAAGGATAATATTTGGGGAGAATCTCATTCGCAACAGCTCAAGCTCTGGTGAAAAGAGAGAGATGATCTCACAATATAGAAGCCAGTTGAATAGGGGACATTGGATGTGGAGTGAGGTATTTGCAGGCACCACAATAGAGTCTACAGCTATCACAGCAAAGTTGGAGATTCGGGTTAGCTCTTTGCCTCTATTCTTCTCCCTTAAGTCGAGAAACCTTGGCCTACACTTCTCTTCTTCTAGGCCTCGGCCAGATTTCTTCTACCGCTGCTTTCCTGATGGACAGGCAACTCATCAGTTCTTGTGCACAGGAGATGCACAAGTAGTGATTGAAGGACGCAAAAGCTTCCCCAGTGGACATTCCTCCTGTGAGTACAATTTTTTTTCCTGTGAGAACTTCCCATAGAAAGCTGGCAATAGGATTATGGCTACTTTGGGGACATTTATTTACCCCTTCCAAGAACATTCATTTTGTATTGAACTAGTTCATACATTGTACTAAGACATGGTTTGAATAACCACAGTTCATTGAATAAACCACTATTGTTTGGCTGTACCCAACACATTTAGCCACAAAACTATAAGTCAGAATAGCTGGGTTTGCAAATATTTAACTTTAAACACAACACATTGCTTAAGAGTCTTTACATCATGATACATGATGTATGTACTAGGTTCCAATCTAATGTGGCATAAAATCATTTTTCTAAAATGTTCCAGTTCAGTTTACAGAATTGGTCTAGGAACTCAAGAAAAGCCTAGGCATATATTAAAAGGAAAGAGAAGTTGCAGTGGTTATGAATGTATTTCTCTCCCCCGGGGCTTCATTTAAATGTTATTAGGTCCTAAGAGATAACCATCCTTTGTAGATTGCCTTACAATCTATAGAGTATTATTTGTGTGATTTGTTCCTCTGTGTAAATGTTCCATTATGCATATGTGCTCACTGGAGCATCTTATTGTAGGGATACAACAGCCTCACTATTTTTTTAAGCTGCCCATTTCTCACTTATTCAGTGCCTCAGTTGGGAAAAAATGCATATATTAAAGTCACGTCATTTTGTCTCTTCGGCTAGATCTGCAGTGTACATACATG